TTTGTTTTTTTACTTTTGAGTGGAACGTCAGTTATAAGCTTTCTCGTTGTGTAGTTTTACCTTTTTTATTACGTAGAACATCATTTTTACATCTTGTTTAGTATTAACATTACCTTTTCAGTAGAACATCATTCTGACCTCTTCTTTAATTATTCTAATACAAATAAAATATTTAAGGACTTTTCAACTTATATGTATTTTTTTTAATTACTACTTATCATAAATTAAATGATAATTACATTAAATATGTTATATTTTGTATCATTATCAACAATTTTCAAAACAATTAACTGTAAATTTTTTAGTTTGATTTGGAGTCATACTTTTACAATAAGAAAATGATGAAATTCCAACGAATACATATTACAGCAAAATTTCAACAACAATTAAATTTTCGTTTAAATTTTTCAATGAAAATTATAACAAAAATATTTTGTTGCAATCATGTGCAGATCCATGTTTGTTCCATAGTCCCGAAACTGACATCATCCCAAAACAAATAGCATAAGATATCTAACAAACATTATGGCACATTTTTCATAATTTTAATCATGTCCTCTATTTAGAAAATATAATTAAAAGAATAAAGACAAATAATGATTAATTTACAACTCAACCAATCATAATTTAATTCAACTCATAACATTATTAAAATTATAGCATCAATGCGGTTTCCCAACTAAAGAAAATATGATATTAAAGTTTACAATTTTACGCTCTATTTCTCTCTTTTCTTTTTATTCTTGATGATATCTTATTATCTCTCTTTTGAGACAAAATTTTTATCTAATTTTAGAAAATATATTTTAAGTCTTTTTAAGTGTATGTAGAATTCTAGTTATATATTCGTAATTTATACATTCATCTATTATATTGTCGAGCCAACTATACTACAACATAAAATTTTTGTTCATAAAAAGATTTTGAAAAATGTATTATTTTTTTATAATTTTCTTATGTCGAATTGAGAAAAAATATGCTTTTTTTTTTTTATTATTATTGAACTTATTGTGATTGTATTGATGTGTTAAAAAAAGTAATACATATGAGAAATCTGACAAATTATGAAAAGTATACTTTATAAATTATAATGACATTATGTTGTTTTGATGCAATACTTTTTGTATTAATGCGATAGTGCTCTTCACATGAAATTATTTTGGATTCGCCACTGCGGCTAGTTTTTCATTGGATCTTTCATTGTTTTTCCCAATTTCAGTGACAATTTTTTTAATGGTTGAAATATGGCCGAAAAAGAAATCCAACGTAAATTCACACAAAAATAAATATTAGTAATTGAGATATTAAATCCACAAAAATTTCAATGTAATTTAATTTACTCACCATTGGAATAGCCAGTGAATCTTTTCAATAGAAGCTATACCAATGAAATATCTGTTGGTATTTTCTGTGGAATACCTAAACAACATCGATTTTAAATATTTTACTAATATTTATTAATAAACTTGTAAAATTAAATAAATATTGTTGAAACAGTTATCTTATTTGATAGGATACTTACGGTTAAATAAACTCTTAAAATTATTGAGAAAATCATAAAAGTATTTAAGAATCTTGAATAATATCAATAAATAAAATATTTAATTTATAAAATTTTGAATTATAATCGTTTATAGAGCGCTCAACTTGATAATTAATTGTTCAAATAAAATAAGAATAATAATAATTAAAATGTCACGAACATTTTTATTAATAATTGAATGAAAAATTTCAAATATTTTAAGTCTTAATAATTAAAAAATTACGCAACTTGATTTTAATCACCTAATGGTCACGTGAAGATTCGTTAACTCTATTAGCTTTGCGACCAAAATTTGAAAATACAAACCACTAAACAATGACGATTTTTGTGGGATCAAAATTCTATCCAATAAAACTAAGGTGCAATCTAATTCTAGTTCTAAATACAAGAGTTTATTTTTCTTAAATAAT